GTGACAAACTGACAGATGGGTGGTGGTGCTTAGATTTTAGATGCCCAGAATTGCATTGATCAAACTCCTCTGTTGTGACACTGTCATCATGAGTCCATGCACGGTGTCCTACGTTCTGTTTATTTACTATCTGTTGGTCTCCTTTACCATCCGTACCCATGCCCCCACCTACCCAACTCCTCTTCTGTCATAGTTACACACTCCTGCTTTATTAAAGTGAAACCTTCTAATCTATCTTCCATAATGTTATTTACACATTTATGTAATCTTGGCTTATACTTAGTGGTGTTTTGGATTGCATTTACCTCAAAGCTAAGGGAATGAGACACTTCCATTGGAATTTCAGGCACCAACAGCTAGTAAGGAAGTGTTCTTTTGAGGAGCAGGTGACCCTTGAAATCATAGTTGGACGGTCAGTGGCTTAGTCTGGCACACAGCTTCCTCTCTAGGCTTTCCCCACCTCAGGGCCACGCTCCCCAGCCCCTACCTGTGCCTAGGTCCTGTCTTTTCTGGCAAAGCCCATCTGCACAGCCCCAGCACTGCCAGTCAGGAGGCCCCAGGAGAGTACTCTCTTCCAAGAGATCATCTGTCCTCCTGGGCACATATTGCTATTTGAGAACACCTATTTCTGCTTCTCCTGCGTCTTTTGGACTGTACCTCTTGAGGTACCACACCCTTGGTGATGTGCTCCTCTCTTGTCCTTTGGCGAAGAAATACCATAAATCATTAGACCAACCATTCTCAAAACTTTTGGTCTCAGGAGCCCTTTACAACTTTAAAAATTGTTAAGGAACCCAAAGAGCTTTCATTTATGTGCGTTACATCTATTTATATTTACCACATTAGAAATTAAAGAATTCTTAATTTATTAATTCATTTAAAACAGTAATAAACCACCATTATATCTTAACACAAACAACATATTTTTATGAAAAGAAATGTTTTCCAGAACATGAAAAATTTAGTGAGAAGAGAGGCATCATTTTGCATTTTAGCAAATCTGTTTATTGTCTGGCTTAATGCAAGACAGCTGGACTTTCCTATCTGTTTCTGCATTCAGTCTGTTGCAGTGTCACATGTCATGTAGCCTCTGGAAAACTCCACCGTACGCTTGTAAGAGAATGAGAATGAAAAAGGCTAACTGGGTACTGGTATTGTTATGAATGTAGTTTTGACCTTACTAACCCTTTGAAAGGATCTCCAGGACTCCCAGGGGGTCCCTGGACCACACTTTGAGAACTGCTGCTTTAGATCATCAGTTTCTTGATGGCAAGGCTATTCCCTGTTCTTCCTTCTAGCCTGGTTTTAAACAGCCTATAGTTGTTGTAGGGGCCCTGGTGGCATGGTGGTTAAGTGCTCAGCTGCTAACTGAAAGGTCAGTGGTCCGAACCCACCAGCTGCTCCTCGGGAGAAAGATGTGGCAGTCTGCTTCCATAAAGATTACAGCCTTGGAAATCTTATGGGGCGGTTCTACTCTGTCCTATAGGGTCACTATCAGTCAGAATTGACTTAACGGCAATTTTTTTTTTTTAATTTGTTTTTTAAGTAGCTGTTACTGTGAGTTGCTGTTGATTCTAACTCATGGTGACCCCACGTGTGCAGAGTAGAAGTGCTTCATAGGGTTTTCAAGGCTGTGACCTTTTGGAAGCAGATCACCAAGCCAGTCTTCCAGTGTATCTCAGGGTGTGTCCTAACTGCCAACCTTTTGGCTAGTAGTCAAGCGCTTAACCATTTGCACCGCCCAGGGCCTCCCCTGTATCTATACAGCACATAATAAACTGGTGATGCTGGCTGCCTCCAGAGAGGGGAGCTCGCCGGCTGGGGGCAAGAGCAGAAGAGCAGCTTTTCACTGACCATCCTTTTCTATAGTTTGAATTCTAAACCATAAGAATATTACCTAATAAAACACAAACTTTTAGAAGCCCCAAACTGAAAACATTATGATGCACCCTTCTCCTTACATAATTAAAAATAAAAACAATGCCTAACACTTAGAAAGGCTTTTCTCCAAAAAGAGTTCTTAGCACATCTTGAGCAATATCATTATTGTTAGAATAAATGTATAATGTATAAGATGACGTGTGTAAGGGGACAATAGAAGGGGACGATGAGATGTATTTGTGAAAAGAACTGTTCATTTTTCTGATTGTTTTCCTGTTGTTAGTTGTGATAAGTCATTCTGACTCATGGTGACCCTGTGTACAACAGAATGAAACTCTGCCCAGTACTGCTCCATCCCTATGATCATTGGCATGTTTGAGTCCATCAGACACTATTCTGTTGTAATCTACGGGGTTTTCATTGGCTAATTTTTGGGACTAGATTGCCAGGCCTTTCTTCTTAGTCTGTCTTAGTCTGGACGCTCCGCTGAAACCTGTCCACCGTGGGTGACCCTGCTGGTATTTGAAATACCAGTGGCATAGCTTCCAGCATCACAGCAACATGCTAGCCACCCCATTACGACAAACTGTTAGACAGGTGGTGGGGTCATTTTTATGGTTCTGCCTTATTGCTCTTCTCACTCTTGCCTCAATTCACAAATAGGGAAACTGAGTCCTGGCTTATTAAGTAACACATCTGTGTCACCTAGATTCTTGGTTCTGACTCTCACCTTGTGAAACGGGGGTCCCCTAACTGCTCCTGCAGCTCTCTGGGGAGAGGTGGGATGGGGGTGGTGGGGGGCAGAGGGTGACAGATCGTCTTTCATTTGGCCTTAAGCGCATCCTCTCCTGGCCTCCAACCCAAAGCAGATTGAGCGCCTGCCATGTCGGCCTTCGAGACTGCACGTTCCTCACACTCTTCCCTTTCCGTCTTCCCCGTGGCCACACACAGCAAGGCAGGGCTTCCTCCTTCAGGCTCCTGCAGGCTCTTGTGCTTGGTGTTTGGTGGGTGCATCTCCTCTTTTTCCAAAATTGGCATCCAAAACCAAACCCAATGAGGTCGAGTGGATTCCGTCTCATAGCGACCCTATAGGATAGAGTAGAACTGCCCCATGGGGTTTCCAAGGCTGTAATCTTTACAGAAGCAGACTGCCACATCTTTCTCCCATGGAGCAGCTGGTGGCTTTGAACCTCCAGCCTTTCAGTTAGCAGCCTAGTGCTTTAACCACTGCACCACCAGGGTTCCTAAAATTGGCTTGATCCTGTTCAGTCATCACTTATTTTATCACACACCTCGGTTAGATCAGAATGGCTTTGGGCTGTTTTAAATCAATGTCTCTCAAAGAGTGAAAATTTGCCATTAGCTAAGAGACTAAGAGGCCTGGTGGAGCAGTGGTTAAGAGATTGGCTACTAACCAGAGGGTCAGCAGT